AGGCACACGAAGCAAAGAAAAGAAAAGAAAATAAAAGCAGCGAGGCGAGAAGACAACGTCGTCGTCGTCAACGACACGAGGGTGCAGCAGGCTGTTAGAATGCGCATGTTGTATGCATGAATGTATATATGTGYGAGTGTCTGTGTGCACGCTAGCTGTAGGTAGATTGCTAGGCGCTAAATGAAAAGCAACTTAGCTAAAGTGTGGGACAATGGAAACACTGCGCTACAGGGTATCAGGATCAAGCACATCTAAGATTAAATATGTCTCTTTATCCCAGATTCCATATCTACCAAGTGATTGGTACTTTGTATTTCAATTAAAGTCTTGTACTTACTTCGCTCTCGCGGAAATTCTCCAATATATCGTGTTGATATTGGACCACCTCGAAGAAGCGCTGACGATCGTTGCGCGGCAAGACAGGACTTTCCAAGAGCGAGATGTCAGCATCGGTTTTGAGATCAGCCATGCCCTCGGCCTGGCTGTTGTCAGATATCTCGGCGCTAATGATGCTAGTCTCGGCCATGGAACGGTCCACAGACATGGGCGATTGCACATCGGTGACGGACATGGGGGTGCCATCCAGATCGTAGCCATGATTTATGGCAAACTCCTTGCGTACTTGCTCGCTATAGAAATTGAGAATGGTCAATTGTAGATATTCAATTGATCCGAAATTCGACTTTTCACTTACAGCTTTTGATCGACAACCTGAATATTCTCTTTGTCGGCTGAAATGGAAAGGGCCGTGCTCCCAATTTGCAACTGCACCTGTGTATGGCTGTTGTCCTCGTAGACGGAGAACGACTTGAATTGCTCCACCACGGGTACAACAACATTTGACTTCTTGGTGGCGCCAAAACAAGCATTTTCATCTACTTTTACCTTGGCAACTTCACGAAAACCCTGCGAAAGAAATAAAATTGAGTACATAGAAGAAAAGTGATGTAAAAGTAACGCAATTACAACATGGTGCCGCAGTGCTAAATGTGTTAGAAAGGGGAAGCCTCATAAAGTTCAGATTGCTATCTCGCTCTATTATTCTTTATTCCCTGTCTGCTCTGGGAAAAATCCTGTTACGTGCGCTGCTCCGCGCAGTCGTCGTTCGCTTTATGTGTTGTTTTTGTTTTGTGTGTGTGCGCGCGCCCTTTGCTGGCTTCTCTGCATGTATTTCTTTCTATCTCTCTTTCTTACTCTCTTTTCCTTTTAAACACAGGCAGTGTGCTTCTCTCTGTGTGTGCGTGTGCTCGCTTAGGTGCTGTAATTGCATTTCAATGTATGTATGCCTGTTTGCCTGTTTGCTTTAATAGCCTTTTTTTTGTAATGTTGCTTTTGTCTGATGTCATGCGAAAAAAGCGCGCAAGATTCGCAATTCGACTATGCATTTCTAGGTTAGTTTTGCTGATTAGGCGCGCAATCGCAGCCTTGCAAAACAAACACATGCATATGCATATATAATTAACATAATCTGCTGAAGTTTACATTAATGTTAAATGTAACTTTTATAATACAATGTGTGTGAGAGGGAAGAGTGATTCAGAAGAGTAACAAGGAAACAGACTCAGACAGACAGACAGACAGGAAAACCCACCACCATTCTGTCTACTGATCGTAGTTCCACCACCAGCTAAGTTGAGCAAGGGGCAGCTGCGCTGGAATACCCAACAGCACACAACAAAATTAGGATGTGAATTGTGATGGAACCTTACCATTTTGCCAGTGGGCACGGGGTTGCTGCGCTGCACATTGCCATGGTTATTGTTGGTATTCAGCACAACCAAATTGGCGCGCGGTGCCAGAGCCTTCTCCTTGCCACCAATTACAGCTAGCGGCTGCTTAACAACACCAGCTCCATTAAGCATTGATGACTTTTCCTTTAGACTCGGCATGCCGGGATTCTCCTTTTCAGTGTTGTCGCGATGTATTTGAAAACTGGCCATTTTATGATATTACGTTTACAAACTTATTTCCGCACGCACAAAATTAATTTAGATGCCTCTATTTGTATCCAAAGGCGCAGACTACTTGCGTGCGCCTTGCTCTCTTCTTCGTCACTAAAAAATGGTGGCTTTATCTGCGCTTCTCTTTATTTTATGTACGCAAGTATAGAGCTGTGTGCGTGAGTATGTGTGTAATTTCGTTTCTTTAACTCAGCTGCTGCGTCGGCGGCTTCGAAACGCCGTCGTTTGTTGAGTCGCTTGCGTTTCGGTTTTTACTCACACTAGCATAAACGCATATGTATGCGTTAGTACGAATGCTCAAAGTCGAACACATTTACACACAGGCAAAATTTATCATAAAAATTTGAAGCACAAATTACATTCAACATTCACGACGCATACGATATATATTATAATACAGTTGACTTTTAATTTTTACAACATTGTTGCGTCTTCGCAGCACTTGAATTTAATTTACATACAAACTCAGCCCGTKCTMACATCWATCTTGATTTGATCTTACGCTTGCACAGTCTGCTTTTTTCTTAGATCCGTCACCGTGTGCGAGTCCCGAAATTATGCTGGACGAACGACCAAAGAGCAAATGATATTTGATTTTTTCCCGGTCAAACAGAAACGAGCTGAGCCATTCGCTGTTCTTTTCGATAGTAAGTAAACTATCGATACATGTATCTGAACGATATATTGTTTGTATAATTTTAGGCCGATATTGTGAGCTTTGGGAATATTCATGTCATATTGTTTATTATTGAATCTACATTAGTTTAATTTGTTTTAATACAAATTCTGCTACTCATCGTAAATATAATACGTTATGTATCGATATATGGCATTAATCTGACTTCAGGCTGTTATTGGAAATAAGAAGTGAGACCGCGGTTTGGGAGTGCTGCCAGATCAATGAATAACAGCCGTTAGATTTTAAATTCTGAAATTGCCTTTTGATTGTTTTCAACTTTTGAACACACATTATTGCAATGATAAAAAAGTGTATTTTAATATTGTAGAAATTATAATATAAGGTTGGCKATACATAYATMTTCCATACYAATTTACCAAATTAAAACAACAAAATTTCTTTCGTAATCTTCCAACAATGCATTTTCATTTTCTACGATAATGGCTCGGAAAATCTTTAGTCTTGCGTAACTAT